GGCCGGGCTGGGTGGGGCCGGGGCTCATCTTCCCTCCCGCGCAGGTCAACGTCGGCATCCTCGTGGCTGTGACCAGGGTCATTTCTCAGATCAGCGCTGACAGCTACAAGGTCCACGGGGACCCCAGTGCCTTCAAGTAAGCCGGCCCCTGGGCCCTCGGTGGCACCCCGCACGGGGGTGGGGGGCGGGCGCTGCGCAGCGTCCTCGTGGCTCCTCATTCACCCTCATTCCCAGCCCGGTGCCCCCGTCTGTGGGAGACGGGGTCTCCCAGACATTCTCCTGGGGACCGCGTCACCCGAGGGTGAGGCGGCTTGGGGCGGGGTGGAGAGGAAGCTTCTGGACCCTCCCGGTGGGTCCACGTCAGTCCTGCCTCAGCCCCCACCTCTGCTGGGACCTCGTGACTCTCCAGCCATCAAGGCCTCGCTTTCTGCATCTGAGAGGGAGGTGACGCAGACGTGTCACGGGCCGTCACGCAGACGGAGGCCCTGGGAGATCCCTCCAGCCCTGGCTGGCCCTCTGGAGAAGGCGAGGGTGTCCGTGGAGGGACCCGCCCACACCCCAGCTGACCAGTATGTTAGGTCTCTGTCAACTGCAGGTGACAGAAAACCCAGCTCGAACGGGCTAAAGAAAAGGGGACTTAGGAACCCTCGTAACCGTGAGGTCCAGGGTACACCTAGCTGGCGTGACACGCGGGGTCAAACCACAGCCCCGGCCCCAGTCCCCTGCAGCTCTCGGGCTTAGGACCTCTGGCTCGGCTTCGTGCTGAGGTGGACCCTGCCTCCTGGTGACAAAGTGGCTGCAACAGGGGCCTCACGTCCATGGGAAGGTTCGTCTCTCTCCCCAGGGGTCAGACAGAGGCCCCGAGGCAGCAGCTCAGATGATGGACCCATCACCGAGGAAGGGAAGTCCCCAGTTAACCTGGATCTCAGAGACACGGCCCACTCGGGCCCCGGGGAGCAGTCAGCACCCCTAGACCACGGGCTGGGAAGTGAGCTCCTCATGGGGCGTTTGGGGGCCGAGGCTGTAAGTCTCCTGTCCTCGATCTGAACGAGAAGACCGTAAAGATGTCACCAGCAAATCGATAAAGCAGATTTTCTGTAATGAGTTCCAACCCTGGGAATTAAAGTGACAGGCGGCTCTGGCCCCTGGGCTGCTTCAGCTGCTGGGAACCGTGGAGGGGGCGTCCTCCGGGAGAAAGGGTGGCCCTGGGTCGGGGGTCACGTCCCGTGCTCTTCCGTGGGGAGACGAGGCAGCGCTGCCCTGCGAGGCTGGCCCAGCCC